GCATCCTGTTCCACTGCCTGACAAACCTGTCAGTGAAGAAATTTTTCTTAACACCTGATCTAAACCTCGCCTGCCTCAGCTTGAGGCATGTCCTGTCACTTCTTACTTGGGAGTAGTTGTAGAGAGTGATAAGGTCTCCCCCAAGCTTCCTTTTTCCCAGACGAAACATTAACATCTTAACATACTCATAGGTACATAGCTAGTATAGGTTATTACTAGAGACCAGTGCATACAAATGTTCTTTTTTTCTGATATAAAAAGTGGATTCAAAGAGTCAAAATTTCCAGAAATGATTAATTGCTTTGAGAAACATTTAGTGAGACTTAGAAGGATCTGTCTACCTGAGGCTGGGCGATCAGGTCTTTCAAAATTTAGAATCCTATTCAATTCTGTGCCTTAATGAAAGCAAAACATAAAACTTTAAAATGTTTTCTTTTCAGCCTTATTATAGACATTTCTATTTTTAATCTGTCATTTATAGTCTGAAGTCAATGAGCAACAGTAGATCAAATCTTGTTCAAATAAGTCCTAAAAATGTGTGTGTATTGTGATTTTTTATAAAATCTTTGTATTATAATCTCATATATTATTGTCACTGTCTGTGATCTTTAGACTAAAATCAGCCTAATCTTTAGATGGTAAAGCATTGTTGCAAAATAGAAAATTACTTCAGAGTAACATCTATTTGGAGACAGAATGTTATCTGGAATGTCTGAGGCAGTAAGCTAGCCTGATAGGGTTTCACAAGTTTCCATCACCAGCAACTGGCGCTACCTTTTTGATTGCATAATTGTTATTATCATTCATCATCATTGTAGAGATACTTTATTTTTGAGGGAAGATCATCTGAAAATATAATAGAAAGTTTTGTCTGCAAGAGACTTAATATTAGTAAGAAAAATAGAGCAAGAAGTTTGTTACATACTAGTGTTGTTTCGTATTCCAGATTCAGTATAATTCATTCGCTGTTCTTACAAGGAATGTGCTATATGAATCTGCCTGTTACTAGTTTGCTGTCTCTTTCCTGATAGGCATTTTGTCCTTATAATCTCAGATGGTCTGTAACAGCTGGTTCATGTGTTAAGAATCACCTGAAGGATGTTTTCTGCCTGAGTGATGGAACTTTATACTGGAAAATTATTTCTCTATCCCTTGAATGTCAGGAATCTTTGTATTCATATGTTCATATGGAAATACACTTTCTTCAGCTCTGTTGATGCACAGCAGCACGTTCTCTAGTGTCTGTGACTTGTTGAAGTGTGAATATCCACGAATATTCTTAGGAACTCTGTAACTATTTAAATCTCTCAAGTCTGAAAAGGTCTCAAGCTTCTCATTTCTAATGGAAAACAAAGCATTTACATTTTTGTACAGCTTTGCTTTCAGTGAATGCTTGTACTTCATGAAGAGGAAAGATTCACGTGGTCTGAGTGGAAAAAACATAGAGAAATAACACATGTGCATGTTTAAGAGGCCAGTTAAGAGTGTGCCACCTATGATCATGAGATAGTGAAGGTAGTAGTGGAAGGTATGCTTGTCATTACTTGTAATCTGATTTGTCTTTACACAAACACTCTTTTAAGTCACCAGTGGATTACTTCACACTCATGTCTGTTTCATTCATCTTGCCACCTTTAGTGGCAAGCAAGAGAACTTTAGATAATTACTGGTGAAAGCTGTTGTTATGTACAGTTGGTGGCACAGAAAAACTCTCGTTGGGTGTAGGTGAATATAGTCTGCTAAGGAGAGGATCAAAGCTTGGAGCTGGGAGCTACATGGATAAGAGAAAAGTGAGGACTATGAAATTCACTAAAGGTGTATTACAAACTAACTGAAAATAAATAAACACTGTGATTGTATTTCTGGAGTAGGATACATGTAATCATCACCATAGCTTGCCACATTTTCCAAACAATGTAAACAAGCAAGGAAGAAAATGCCCTTGCCACAGAGAAATTTAACACAGCTCAAAGAGCTAAAGCAGAAACACATTTGGCAAATAATTTCAAAATTCAGTTATGGACATTTAATGTTAAATTTTGGGTGACTTAAGGGGGTTGCGAATTTTCTTTCCAGAAAAAAACCCCATAAGTATCCTCTGAAAACAAACTTACTTTTAAGTGCAGAAGACTAAGATTTTTAACATAGAATAAAACATTTAACAAGAACTCTGTCTCAGAACACAGTGTCTTACAAATTAACTTGTATCATTTGGTTCTCTGCTGCCAGTGAACTCCAATAGAAAGCATTGTTCTGATCTCTCACAAAGATAAATTGGACTCTAAATTGTTAGGAGTATTGGGAATGTAAGGTTTATGATCACAGAGCAAAAGAGTGTAGCAGGCATGTAAGGAAATATCTCTGAAGAAGACCTCTTGTTCTGAGAAAAATTAATGGGCAAAAGGGAAAAAAGATGCAGTTCAATCAACTTATGCTTCATGTGCTCTTCCAGAAGGTCAAATCCACATCAGTCTGAAATCAGATTTTCTTTCTAAAAAATTTGATACTTATTTTCATCAGTTTCCACTTTCAAATAATATATACAGTGGTCTACAAATTCTGTTTGTTATTGAACACTTGGTGTCTGCTTCCAGCAGCAGTACTCTGCATCAGCTAGCTCTCACAGAAAGTATTTTAGAAAATTTGAACAGGATTGACTTCAACATGATCAAAGCTTATGTTAGATAAAGTAACTAATGGAAAAAAAAAATAAATCTGCACATAAAAGAGCAGGCCACATATAATTTCTCCCAACCTAACTGAAAAGGAGCAATTTTCTACAGGCTTCTCAGCCTGAGTATATGCTTAACATTGGATTACTATACAGAATAAAAATAAAGCTAGCGTTTTCTGTTCTTTTCAAACTGGTTAATTTTTGTTGTTTGGAAACTGCAAAGTGGTAAATTTTTCAGGAATGCTTTCTAGAAGCTGGCACTGCTTCTGTGAGCATACAGTTTATATGTGAGAACTGCAGTGAAGGAAAGCACTACGTATTTAGGCATGCTAAGACTTAGCCAGACATTTATTTCTTGTTTTAATTAAGAGTTTGTAATGTGTCCTACCATTTTTATGAATTAAAAAACCCCAAAGTATGCAAACAAAAAAGGTTTAGTCAGAGGCTTATAATAAACCTGCAGTTACTAAGATTGCAAACTGCAGTTATTATGTATCAACGTTTTCCATTAAAAAAAGGTGTCATTCTGTGGGAATTATTGAATAATAAAGAATAAACCACAACTTCTTTGTCTAAAATACAGGTGACTATTACAGACATATTACACTGCTTCTATATCAATGATGAATTGAAACTAGATTTACTGTAATTATGTTGAAATGTCTCAATTGAAATACAATTTTCTTTAGTGTTAGGAGTCTTGCAAATAAATAACAGATATTCATGAAGTATTTGCCATACTTACTCTTAATATGAGGATTTTTTACATTATTAGTCCCATTTTTTAATACTTCAGCATCAATAAACATTTTCAGTTACTTTGTTAAAATTCCTTATCTGTGAAATAAGCTATCATTGCCTGCAAAAAAATTCTTTTAGGGTTTTTTGCTACTCATGAATACTTATACCTGCTTCAGTGGCTAGAATTTTTTCTCCTCTTTTTCCAGGTTACTTTTTTCTCAGACTGTTATTTGTGAACTGTTAGTGATCTGTGACCTGTGAGACTCAAAATAAAATGATCTGTGAGCAAAAGCTATTTGATACTGGGGAGTTTGAAAGCACACTAAGTCTATTTTAATAAGTGCTATGCAGAATGAGAAACCTGGAGAATGCAAGTTTCAAAGATGCATATCTTAAATTTCCGTTTTGGAGGAGTAATCAGTTTTTCTCTTGGATTAACATTATAATCCACATTTTTTAATTGGAAATACTGTGCAATATTCTGCTATTGTTGTTTCCTGCATTTTGTGTATTCTCGTTGAATTTGGTATGAGTGACTTAGAGTGATTCATGAAGACATTTGTTAACAAAAGCAATTTGTTGTTACAGGACTCAGTTTAAACTTCTTTTCTGTACTGTATGCAAGGCTAATTGATAAGAATGTGTTGCAATAAGTAGAACAGAAACTGTTTCAGTTTCACCTATCAGCCACCGAAAGAAATTTATTTTCCATTATTTAACCCCCTGTACTACTGTCTATTATGTTTTCTGATTGGTTTAGGTGTTCAGCATTTCTATTTTCCTAATAGCTTTCATCATAAATACCATTTGTAGCTTAAAAAACTTAGCAATCATGATAAACATATGGTTCTCTATGTGTCATCTTACACAGAATTATTTAATTCTGTTTATTCTAAACTGTGGTGCTTCGAGGTTAGGATTTGTCTGAAGAAATGTCCTGTTCTTTTAAAAGTTGATGCAGGTTTTTTTAAATGCCTGTAAACACAGTATTTTGTCTGCTGCATACACTGATCTGGAAAGGAAATGTTCTTCTGTCACAGTGCACTTAATAGTTTCTGGTGCCTTCATTTATCAGTGTACTGAAATTATTTCTCAAATAATTCAGGTTTTTAGTGAGATATTTCTAGACACACTAAATATTAACATCCAAGGAATAGTTTATATGTTTGAGGAGTAATGTAAAATATGGCAAATATTTTAAAAATCTTTCCATCTACCTTGAGGGGATTAGTGCTGATATTAAATTCTGAACTGTGAAAGATGAGTTACTGAAGATATAGCTCATAATTTAAGCTACTGTAAAGTGGGTTTTTTCTTTAATGTATCTATGGTTATTAGTATTTTTCAATTATCTGTTCCACTGAACTTCCAAATACCCGTTATGGAGGAAGACACTGTAAGAGCTACTACCAGAAAAGCAACTCTTGTGGATGATAAAATAAATTTCTTGTGTTGGATCCTTAGCATTCGTTGACTATTATAACTCCATATTTTAAAATTTTAAAAACCTATGGTGATATACACTCACTTATGACATACATGACAGTATTAAATGTATTAAATAATTACATATTTTTCACTACAGGTGAAGTGCGATCAATACTGGCCAAGCAGAGGCACGGAAACTTACGGACTAATCCAAGTGACCCTTTTAGACACTGTTGAATTGGCAACATACTGTGTTCGTACATTTGCACTTTACAAGGTATATATACTTACATATACACTCACAATTCACTTTTAAGTTGAAATGTCAGCAATTTTTTTTCTCCCCTCCTCTGCCTTTCTCTTCCCGCTTGTCCCCATCCTTCCTCTCCCCTCCCCTCTTTTCCCCACCCCTTCTCTGCCCCACTCCCGTCCCCTCTTCCTTCCTTCCTTCCTTCCTTCCTTCCTCCCTTCCTCCCTTCCGCCCTTCCATCACTGTCTCCTTCCTGGCACCCTGCCTTCCTTCTTCCTTTTGCTTCCTGCCTTCCCTGCTTGCCTTTTTCCCTTATTTGCTCATTCTCTTTCTCCCCTTTCCCTCCTTCCATTTTTCTCCCATGTTTACTCCTAACAGTACTAAACAATGAGACTTGTTCTACAGAGTTTATTTTCCTTATAGCATGGAGTTTTTTGAATACTACCTGAATATGAGCTACAGCTCTCACACTTGTGATGCGCAAGTGTGCAGAATACTTAAAGCTCTTACATTATTTGGATTTTCCTCCTAGCCTGAGTTCTGTTTCTTTCTGGCCTCAAATGTGATTTAAATAGTTTTCACTGGTATATATGCTTCTGCAATTGTTTAATTGAAAAGTGCCAATATCGTGGCAGTTTTGTCATGAAAATTTTAAATTTCGTAGAATGGTTCAAGTGAGAAAAGGGAAGTGAGGCAATTCCAGTTCACTGCCTGGCCTGACCATGGTGTCCCAGAACACCCAACACCATTCTTAGCTTTCCTACGACGAGTCAAGACTTGCAATCCGCCTGATGCTGGACCTATGGTTGTACACTGCAGGTAAGCCCAGAAGCTTTTACAAAACATATGTCAAGATTACTGTTTTCTGTTTTGCTGCAGATGAACATATTATTTTCTTTCAATAGACTTCTTAAGTCTGTAAAAAAAAGATGTCTGCATTGCAAATCAAGGACCTGAGTATGGCACTGCCAAATTGGCTAGTCTAGAATTCTTTTGGTTGATCTATGCAAGATGAGTTCATTTTAGAACATCTAAAAGTCTCCAAGGAGAATGTCTGCAGGGAGAACACAGATGAATCTATGGAATTCAAAAGGTGGCATCAAGAAGAAATGATAGTGTTAACCTGAGTTAACCCTAACCTGAGTGTTAAAGAAAGCGCATTTTGAGCAATGAAACAGCTTTTGAAATTATTATTATATTGTGTATGAAAATAACAAACATGAGAATTAAGAAAGATAAATGGAAACTTTTTGAAGATAGGTAGAAACCTAAAACTGTATTCAGTGTTAACCCCTCAGTTTAGGACTTCGAGGAGCCAAAACTGCGAAGGATGTACTTGGGGAACAGGCTGAGCTCAGTGCTGGGGAAGTGAGTGCTCCTTGCTTTTTTTGCAGAGTAGCAAACCCCTTCAGGCATTATAAAGTATGAATTAATAAACTAAAGAGAAAATCATTGGAACATATGCACTGATTCTGATGGAAAGTAACTGTTAAATGGGTTCCCCTCATTTCAGGACTATGTTGTCACAGCTTCTATAGCTTACTGTGTAGCCCCTTTCAAAACAATTTCCTAAGATCAATCAGTTTTGTGAACTTCATTTTGGAATACCTTCAGTTAGAAGGCTGAGAGCTGTTTCACCCTTTTAAATGAAGTTACAAATGCTTATCATATTTGAAAACCAGTCGTGCTTTTGTCATCCAGAACCTCAGGAATAGTAATTACAAGAATTACAGCATACCACCATCTCTAGTTATTACCTCTAACCTATTGGTAAGACAGCCATGGAATCTGGTCATTTTAACACTTTTAAAGTGATTGAAAGAGGATTCTGTAAATGAGACAGGAAGATGAAGTCAGAAAACCAAAATGAGCAGGGCTTCAGTGTTGAAAGGCACTGACTGGTTAGAAAACATCAGAAAACATGAAGACAGATATTTAATGTTTATTGAAAAATCAGGGTTAGGAATATGGAATAAATCTAAATAATAATACACATACATTTATACAGTTTGCTGAGTATTTCCTAAGTGGAGCCAAATCTTTTTGTACCTGCATTTGCAGGATCTTGAAACATTTTGAATATTGTCTAGAATTATGGATCGCCTCAGCTGTAATTTCATCAGCCTGAACCATATATAGCATACCTCCAAAGGTGCTCAGCTGTAAAGATGGCATCAAAGAACCATCAGGTTGGAAGATACCTTTGAGACCATCCCCCACCTCGCTACAATCTCCTTTCAGGTAGATGAGGTCACCCCTGAGTCACCTCTGCTTGAGACTAAACAAACCCAACTCCCTGAGCCATTGCTCATAAGACATAGTTTCTAAACCTTTTACAAGCCTTGTTGGGCTTCACAGAACACACTGCAGCTCCTTAGTGTCCTTTTCAAAGTGAGAGTCCCAAAACTGAAAACAGTAAATACTAAACACATGCTATTCTCTAAATCAAAAGCAAACTTAATGGAAGAAATTAATCTTGCCAGTCTAGGAAGACTGTTAAGTTAGTTAATTGCCTAAATTCTCTCAATTCAAAAGAAGGCAAATTAAATAAGTTCTGAAAGAGTCCTAGAGCTAGTCGTTAGAAAACCTGAAATAAAATGCAATGCTTACTGTCAGTCAGTGGTACTGATGAAGTACAAGGCCATTATTTTCTCTTTGTCTTTGGTTATGCATGGAGATTTCATTGAAAGTGATGGTCAGATTAGGCTGTATGATTTGATGCCTGCTAAGGCACCTTTTTTTCCACATTCCTATTAATTTATTCAGTGATACTGTACAATACATATAACCTGCTATACATAAGATTTTGCCTTATGTATATCTTCTTGCAACATTAAGATTTTAGTAATTTCATACAACCTAACCTCTAGAAAGCAGACTTTCACGTATCCTGTTATTTTAGCAAGCTTTTTAGGATCCCACTCCTAATAGTTTTTCTAGGAGCAGAATTATTGAAACCAGGTTTCTGACAAATTTTAGAAATCATGTCTCTGTATTTAAAAATTTTGTGTGGCTGGGCATTTAGCAGCAAGTGGTGTGGATACTCCAAAGTTTATGAATGTGGTAATTAACTCATTGGTGTAATGTGCTGACCGTCTAACTGATAGCCCAACAAGAAGAATTGTGTATTTTTAGAAATACTTAGAAATACTAATGTATTTCTCACAGTAGTGATGTCAAAGTGAGTGTTTCTTTTCAGGCATATTGTACCAACATTATGTTTTGAGATTTGTATTGCCTTACCGTTTTGAATTCAAAATTATTTTCTTGGGGCTGTGCTGTGCAGGACCAAGTGTTGGACTTCAGAGATCCTTGTGAGTCCCTTCCAATTCAGGATAGTCTATGTTTCTGTGATTATGAAACTAATTATTAAAAATCAGGAGAGAAATTGCCATAGAGCATCACCACAGTATTTTTTGGCTAAAAGATATGCTTCATACAACATGAAAATTCTTCACATTTGGTTTGAAATTAAAGTACTGAACATACATATAAATTTCATTTCAAGTTCATAAAAAAATTAATTTTATTTGGAAACAAAGAAAGTGAGCAAGCTTTGCATATTATCTATTTTTTTCTTAGAATCTGCTTTCTGGCCTATTTTTCCTGTCTTCTCTGTTGCTCACTTTGTAAGTTTCTCCATTACACTCTTTTCATTGCTTCTCATTGTCAATCATTTCACTATTTTTTTTCAATTATTTTTTTATCTCTAGTGTCTGGATTGATCTTTATTCTGTGAATCCCTCTTTATATTCTATTTCTGTCCTTCAATTCCACTGTTTTCTCAAACTCATTTCACTATATATATTATATGGCTGAACCATTTCAATATGAAATATGTTCCTCCTTTCTTAGAACTTTCTCTGAAGTATGATTGTCATTCTAATGGTAGCATTCTTCTACCAGTTTTTGTCATGCACCACCTTTTACTGCCTTCTACTAGTCACCATTTTCCACTGAGTTATTTTATCTCTACTTGCCAAAGTTTTTTACTTTTCATTTCTTCCTTTGCTGGTCTCTAGTCTGCCTCTGCAACCTATTTAAATAGTCCTCTTGACCTCGTTCTATATCTTGTCTGTCTCTGTCTCCCATTTCATGTTCAGGACTCCCTAAGTCCTTACATTTCTCCATTTCATCATCCAGATTTAAAAAGTGTTTTAAACTTTCCTCACTAGAACCAAATAATATGATACAGAACTATATCTTACATCCTATGCCTATGGTAGGCAGTATTTTCCAAGATACCTCATTGAAGGAGTAATCTGAGTTTAGTTTCTAGCAGGAGCACAGAATTCATAGTGGCAAGTGTGAGCCATCTGAGACATCACTAATGCCGTCTATGTTTTTTCCAGTACCTAGCAAACTCTCAGAGCTCAGGAAACTCAAATAATCACATTATAGAAGTATAAACACAATGGGGATTACTTTTCCAAATGTTTTGGTAAAAAGAAGGAGTGGGTGTGAACAATCTGTGGAAGCATTTTTCTGCAAACTTTCAAACTGTAGAAAACCAAAAATAAAAGCTAGTAGGTAACTAAATACAGGAAGAAGTTGTTCCTCACCCTGCCTGAGTTAGGACTAAACAGAAGAGACAGCTGTCTATATTTTGTTCCTTACAAAATAATCCTCTATTTATTCTGTGTTTAGAACTAGGCATGGTAAGTGAAGGGTTTAGCCTAAGCTTTTCCTTACTGCATTCTCCACATCTGCATTAATATTGATCAGCAGTTGTCTTTCAGTCCATTTCATGTTAAGAGACTAGGAAGTTTTTCCAGTTTGCTTTGTGGTTTTGAGATACAACTGTACATCCTACAGAGAACCCAGGTAATTGGAGACCTGGTTCATGAGAGTGGCCCTGGACTAGTTTGTGTCAAAGCTGCAGTAGCTGATAAGCTGGTTTAATATCCTGTTCCTAGGAAATGGTTGTTGAGTGTGTGAAGAATTTATTTAATAACTTACAGTGTGCTTAGTGAGGAAAAGTCTGAGCTGAAAACAACTGACAGCTGAAGAATCCACACTCTGAATATTTGAATGCATTCTATTCACATAATAGTGATCAAAAAAAGAATGCATAGTCCTAACTGGTCAAATTAACTGAGAATGTAAGAATTACCATTCAAAATTGCTAGATAAGTTCTGATAAAAGCATGTCACACAAATGCGAATGGAAATTTTTGTAGCAAATTTCTTTGATAAAAGCAAAGAAAATGTAGAATTATGTGATCAGAATCTAGAAAAACTTAGGTAATTCTTTATTACTAATGTCCATGCAACAGCCTATACAGTATTGAATTTGAATCTAATACAGAAGTCAAAAACATGAGGAGAATTTCCTAAGTATATTCTATGAGTCAATGCTCTTACTCTTTATTGTGGCTTAACTCCAGCCCACAACCAAGCACCACACAGCCACTTGCTCACTCCCCTACCAGCAGGACCAGGGAGAGAACTGGAAAGGTAAGAGCTAGGAATGGATTGAGATAAAGGCAGGGATAGGGAAAGCAATAGCTGAACAGACAAGCAAAGCAAAACAAGGAGTTAATTTACTGCTTCCCATGGGCAAGCAGGTGTTTAGCCTTGTCCAGGAGATGCCTTCAAACATCCCCTCTTCTTCTATCTTCCCCCCAATTTTATATCCTGGGCATGATGTCATGTGGTGTGTAATATCCTTTGGTCAATTTGGATCGGCCCAAACCAGCACACATGTCCTGGCTGTGTCTCTGCCAAACCTCCCATGTACCCCCAACTTCCTTGAGCTGCATCACACGCTGAAAAGGAGGCAAGAATTCTGTGAAGAAAATTTAACTCTATTCCAGCCAAAACCAGCACACCTATGCAGGAAAGTTGACAGGTTTTTAAGTGGGAAAGGTAGCTAAAATATGTTTAGAGGTATGTTATTTTCAAGGAGAAAACATAGATCATAGCTGAAGATTTGTGAAGCAGCAAAGGGAAACATCAAGGCCTCATGTAAATGCAGATTTTTTTTATGCAATGAGGTTATTTTGAAAGGACTACCTTTATGAAAAAGGTGTAGTCCTAGTAACATAAGCACCTTTTGCACCCTTTTTCCAGGAAAAAAAAATGTAGTTTTCTGCCTATATCCACCAGGAAAGATAGTTCAGCAGAGCCTCAGTCAAGGTAAAGTTAGATTTAGAAAAACATGTTATAAACTGCCATGTTCTGTGGTCCTTGCCTGAGCTACATTCTTTCAATGACAGCAGTATCATTATTTTCTAGATTTGCTAGAGAAAAGCAGATAAATTAAAGGTAAAGCTGTATATTAAAACAAAAGGCCAAAAAAAGCCCCAGAAATGCAATTTAGAAATGCCGTCCTGTTTGTAGGTACTTTGCACATTGTATTCAAATCT